CGACTCCCGGGTTCCCGGGCGGGCGGCGGGACTGCGGAGGGTCCCAGCCTCGGGGGGCCGCGCCCGGTGGGAGGCTGCGGCGCGGCTGTGGCTGAGACTCAGCGCCGCGCTGGGGACGGTGCTGGTTCCCCCTTTTCGGTTCCCCCAGCCCTGCCCCCCTCAAGCTCCCCGTGCCGCTGAGGAGGGGGGTAACCGGGCTGTGCTCCAGCGGATCCCCACTTGACTGGACGGGGAACCAACATTTGAATACCAGGCTTGGGTTTTTCCCTTCTTTATTTGGGCAATGATCGCACTAACAGAAGGATTTCATGCTTGTGCAGCGGGTGTGGGGAAAGGTGGGTTGTAACTTTTTAATGAAAGTTTTAATCAAACCGCTGCTGTTTTATCGTATACTTCAAAAGGTAACATCGTGTATCGGTTTCCCCAGGAAGTGTGTTTTCTGAAGAGCCCCAGCCGCCGGTTTTGCCATCAGGTTAAGGGGTCACTGGAGGGGTAGTGCTGTGCTTCTGGGTGAGGGTGACCTGTGGACTCTGGGCGCAGCAGTCTGCTCCCCTGTGAAGCAGAAATACAGCACAGCCGGTGCCGGGAGAAGTCAGCTACGGAGTGGGACCTGAGTAAGGCACTGCCTGGCCAAGCGTCACCCGCCAGTGTCAGCTAAAGACGGAGGCCGGAGCGTGTGCCCCCCTCCCCAGGCCACGCACCTGCTCCACCTGGTCAGCTACCCTGCCTGAGGCATGGCTGGTGACCCAGACCCTTTTAGGGCTGGCAGGTCAGCGGGCATGTTGCCCGGTCCCGGGCGAGTCCGGCTGAGAAGGCAGTGACTGGCCTCTCCCTGTGCCCAGCCGGGGCCCTGCAGCTGCTCCGTTGCCTCGAGGAGGCCTCTGGATTGCGCGGGGAGATTGTTACAGACGCGCGGAGGCTTCAGAGTTGTATTGGCCTGGTCCCCTGGCCATGGCCTAACCTGCAGCCTCAGTCCCCCCTTGTGTGAAGAGAGGTTTTTGCATCCAGGGAAAGGAAGCTTCTAACAGGTCTCCCAGCTCTAATTCTCACGCTGCTGTTCCTCTGTTTTTTTCCTTTTATACGGAGCCCTTGCCTCACTATTTTGGACTTAAAACTAAGGTTTCATAACCTCGTGAGTTCTGTAGTTACTCTGAGTGCTCCCTACTCCCGAAAGCGACTGTGGGGGGCCTCAGTTCTGTTTCCCTGTGAGCCTTGTGCGGAGGCCCCCACCCCCACCCGGTCTTCACCCTTCATCTGCAGCCTGAGTAATTTTGCAGACGGCCCGCCTGCCTGTCTGTCTGCTGAGCCTGGCAAACAGGGTTGAGTTTCCTGCTGAGATCCCCGCTGTGACCGCTCCGGTCCCTTACGGGGTAGTCTCAGTGTGCAGCAGGCACCCAGGGTGTGAAGGGCACCCTCTGCTCAAACGTGACCCGTCTGCAGGGAGCAAGTGCAGCTTCTCCCTGAGTGGGGCGGGGTCAGAGGCACCCTGGGCTACTCGGGTCCTTTTGGTGCCAAATGAACGAGTTTTCAGGGCCTCTGGGTTTCACCAGTGGGATGAAGGGGTGACAGGTCTGCTTCTAACTCGGGAGCATCCTTAGGACAAAGGCATTTTGTGGCTGTTCCCTCCTCCAGGTCTCCGTTTCCCTCAGGCCTTCTGGCTCCTGACCTAAACTTCAGC